GAAAGCATCTTCCCCTGAAACTTGCAGCTGATACAATGGCCAAAGCACTCTATCTGAGTTTGTCATTTTTGTCTGAGAATGTGTTGTACCCACATCCCAATTTGCATTTTTTAATCTTGTAAGCATTGGCTTGGGTAGCTCTATTGTGCTTCCATATTCAGAGACACTGGCAAAGTTTGACTGTTTGATGAACAGCAGTCAGTGAGGACACCTGACTTATCTCTTCATTTCATAGCTCTCACCTTTGTTTGAAGTCAGCATAGAGGACTCTGCTGGGGAAACCTTTCCTGCAAATTCTGATGCCTTCCAGCACGCCGTTACACCGCAGCTGGTGAAGTACCAGTTCATGCTCCATGGCACCTAGCAATTCAGAGCATAAATGAATACCACAGTCTCCAGTGCGGACCAGGCATGGCTGTATCAGAGGAAGTTCTCTTTCTGCTTGAGAATCTTACCAGGTGTTTTTGTTTCATTTGGGATGATGCAACGAACAAAATGGGGGTGAGTGCTCCGTAGATTGGTCATCAGCTTGTTTAGGTTCTCCTGTGGGACCATGATTTATTATGTATTTATATGAAATATGGAAAAATTCTTAGGTTCTTTGAGCTTAGCCTATTAATGGAGATGCACTGGGTTGAGAATTTTCAACTGATGATATCTCAATCAATAGCTCAATCCTTTCTCATTCTGAACATTGAACATCACCTTTTAGGAAAAGCAAGTTGCCATCAACCCAGGGAGAGATAGAGGATGAGTACTTCATAGTTTTATGTGAAAATTAATGTTTATTTTATGTGTAAATTTATTACTTCACAGTATCATTTTTCATTCCATAAGATTTTTTTTTATGAGATCTGAAAGTTCTTTGGTTTTTGTTTTTGTTCTTGTTTTTTTTTTTTTCTTACTTTCACTGAGCCAGTTGAAAGTGCAGGTTAATTCTTATTTACACAGATGAAAAGATAAAATGTTTACTTACCCGGAAAAGAGCTGAGACAGTCTGGAAAGAAGAACCCTTCTTCTTGCCACCTTTCTTGCCACCACCACCACTAGCCTCTGGTATAGCAAAGATAATGAAACATTTATGGCTTTAGGGACTATTCATGATTCCACAATTTTCAGAACCACTGTGCACCAATCAGATGACATTTCAGAGAACTGACCTGCCTCTCCTCCAGCAGAGGCAAAAAGTAATGCCAGTGTCTTCACAGATGATTTCTGATACAGCCCAATGACAGTTTCATTCAAGGGATCCTTATTCTTCTCCAGCCAGCCAGAGATGTTGTAGTCCACTGTGCCAGCATAGTGCACCAGGGAGAAGTGGGCCTCAGCCTTGCCTTTGCCAGGCTTGGGCTTCTGGAAGTTGTTGGACTTGCCCAGATGTTGGTCATAGAGCTTGTTCTTGAAAGAGGTGTCAGTTGCCTTGGGGAACATGCACTCCTCTTCCAGGATGGAGAAGATGCCCATGGGCTGGGAGAAGCAGCAAAAAATAACAGCGATAAAATACATATCTGACTTCAGAAGGAGACTGCAGTAAGGCACAGGAAAACTGAGAAATGGATTAAATTGGATCAAAAATGGATCAATTCTTTATTAAGTTTTGCACATGCAGTTCTAGACAAAATATGAATTTGTGTCTGAAACTAATGCATTTCAGAACTGATAGTATCCCAATAATCGCACAAAGTTTTCTAAATAATTTGGAAACTGATGAATCAAAAGGAGATTTTTATTTTTTGCATTAATGCTTTCCCAAAGTAAATTTGTGTAGATAAAGATGTCTTACTAAAATTGACCTATGTTCAACAGATCCTTCAGCTACTTCCTGAAATCTTATTTTTTATGAGATATCTCTGTCTTTTATTTCCTGTACAAGAGGATGTTACACAAAACTGTGTCAGCTCATAGTGATGGTTTTAATGATCACTGTTCATCTAGTACCTTTTTTCTATATACGGCTATGATTTTACTTAGAAATTGCATTTCAGAAATCACAGTATTAATATTGAAATCATAATCATAATACTGAAAATTGTGTCTGGGTTCCTGAAAAGAGATCATTCATCTTTGTAGACTAGAAAACACACCTACAGAGAATCCTTGCCATGAAATTATGTGTGATCATGTTAATTCTTCTATTGCCAAACAAGCAAAATTACAGTTGATTTTTAAAAAATTCATAATAATGTAGTTAATGGATAACCTGAAGGTTCTTCTTTTGTAGCCTAATCACAAAGGTCCTTAGAAATTGCTTTCTAAATACATACAAAATTTGAAATGAAAGGGTACTTTCTGAATACAAATAACCAGGAACATAAATGGATAATAATAGGCAGGTTTGTGAAGCATTAGGGCAAGAAAAAATAAGGCTGAAGAAAAATCCTAAAATTCTGTCACAAAGAAATAGCAAAATCTTAAATGTAATCAACATACTTTTTCAATGAGCTCAATGCAGGCAGCCAGGTCCATCCCGAAGTCAATGAATGTCCATTCAATTCCCTCCTTCTTGTACTCCTCCTGTTCCAGCACGAACATGTGGTGGTTGAAGAACTGTTGCAGTTTCTCATTGGTGAAGTTGATGCACAGCTGCTCCAGGCTGTTGAACTGCTCAGTGCAAAGACAAGATTTACTCATTCTCAGGATGAAGAACTGCCTATATAGCTTTCTCCTATGCACTCAGAATCCTGTACGGGAATGCCCAGTTAAAACAAGGGGTTTTTTAATGTTAAAACATCCTATTAACTATTTTTAAAGTGGTTGGTTTTTTTTTTTTGCTTTTTGCTACCTGAATGATGTTTACATATATAATTTTTTTTAAAAATCAAATTCTAAAATGATTTGGTAGTCTTATCTATATCAAGGTGCAATTTACATAATTTTTTTTCTCTCGTATTATGTAAATTTTCCCATTGCCCTTAAAAAAAAATTAGACATTGTCAGTCCTGGCTTGGACTCAGGTACCTTCCCCAAATGTCAACAAAACTTCTCTGTCTGCACTAAAGGCAGCCAATGCATTCTTCCTCTTGGTATCACCCTTTGGCTCTTCAGAAGCAAAGGATATATATTGCTTTCTTTTTCCAAAGCCTTAGCACATTTTTATGTGGGACTTAAATCTACCTTTCTCTTCCTACACTCTGTGATATTTTATCTTGTATGCTATTTGTTAGTGGATTTTTTTAATACTGAGCTCAAATTATTGAAAAGCTACAACATTCATGCTAATTAAGTAAAAGGCAGCATGTAAAACAATGCTTATTCCTTGTGTATCACGTAATTACAGGCAGATCTATTGAAGCTCATGGATTATGCTGGAGAAAAAGCAGTGACATATACAAAGAAGGAAAGCATTTCTAGAAAATAAAAGATAAACTTTTTCAAAAAACCACAAAACTTGATTTGAAATTGCAAGTGAATGGAATGTTTTCCAAAAAACCCACCATAATTTTCTAGTTTCTCTTGAGCCCTAATTGCCTTTTCAAGATTTTACTATGATTTCTGTGATACTTGCATCAAAGATCTCGAAGCCAGCAATGTCCAGGACACCAATGAAGTACTGTCTGGGCTGCTTCGTATCCAGCTGTTGGTTGATACGAACAACCATCCACAGGAACATCTTCTCATAGACAGCCTTTGCCAGAGCACCCACTGAATTGTTCACCTAAAATAAAGAAGAATGCAGCAGAAGGAAAATAGTACCCAAAGCAAGAGAGTAAATCAAGCCGGAGGTTCCCAGTCACCAGCTGGTTTTTACCTGCTGCACAGTTTGACCCTTGGTCACATATTCATTCCCAACCTTGACTCGGGGGTAGCAGAGAGCCTTGAGCAGGTCAGCTGAGTTCAGACCCATGAGGTAGGCAGCCTTGTCAGCAACTATACACAAAGAGAGAAGGAAACAGTAACAGAGGAGAAGTGATCATTGAAAGTGAATGTCCTCTAAGATGTTGCTGTAGGTTTCAGCACTGCAGTCTTGTGATAGCTTGAAGGGAAATTTAGAAGCATGAATATTATGGAAGCTGAGATTTATGTCCTTATGAAAGTAAATTGGAGAAATATACTTGTATGCCAACTGCCAGCTATGTAACTGTTTCTGTTATTGGGACTTCTAGATTTTGTTAATACCTTCTGTGCCATCCGGCTCTGCCTGTTCCTCACGCTGCTTCTGCTTGAACTTCAAGTTCCCGTAGTGCATGACAGCCCCTGTCAGCTTGTAAATGGCTGTTTTTTCATCAGCAGTGAAGCCCAGGATGTCAATGGCACTCTGGCAACAGAGTCAGTCAAATAAACCTCTGGGCCATGAAATGGAATTTTCACCATACCAGTATGCTCTGTGTCACTTACATCTGTAGCCATCAGCTCTTCCTGGTCGTTAATGCTGGGAACCGTGATCTCACCTTGACTCACAAAGTGGTAGTCATATGGGTTGGTGGTAATGAGGAGCATGTCTGTAAAGAGGAATAGGACATATCTGGGCATAAGAATGAAGATAAATGTTACACACGTTCAGATTCCATCAAACAATTTATAATACTTCCTACCAATTAGCTCTGGCTTCTTGTTGGACATGATCTGATAGAATATGTGGTAGCTTCTTTCTGCCTTGAGCTGGAAAGTGACTCTGGATTTCTCCAGCAGATCTGGCAAGGAAGGTAAAAAGAGTTAAGCCTGAGAAAGTACACTGAGGTAGAAAGGATGTGATCAGGTCAGGAGGCCTCTTACATGTTTCAATGTCAGCAGAAGCCAGTTTGCCTGTGGCTCCAAAGTGGATTCGAATGAATTTGCCCTTTAGAGGGGAAAGAAAAAAGGCATTTTGAAATTTCACTTAGACTGTAAGTATGTGACCTTACATTCTCCACAGAGGACAGGATTTAAACTTAGAAGTGGCTTTGTCTTTTTTCCTTATTTTTTCTTAAAAAAAGCAAACCAAACCGAAACAAATATTCAGGTAACTGTCTGTACTGGCAATACTAAGGTATATACCTATTATTATTTAGTGGATAACCTGAATGCACAGGAACAAGAAAACCACTAAGCAAGCCTTTTATTAGGTCATTTATGCCTCAATTCAAACAGATGGGTATAGAGAAAGCCAAGATGCATTTACTTCATTTTTTAATCAGTTAAGATGCTGTGAAGGTGGATTTTAGTGATGTAAATGTTAAATGAGTTTTTTTTGATCTTGTGGAAAAACAGAAGGCAGTTGTTATTTTCTGAGTTCTGGGGATAGGGGCACTGTACCCAGAACATAGAACTTTAGGCTGAGACTGTGGATGAGTATTGCGGTTTCCCAAGGACATTCACAGCTTATCTAATAAAATTTATGAATGGCTTTTTGCATTAAAATGATCAAAAGGACATGTCATAGAGTAGTCTGGTTTCTGATAGGAAGTCTTGAAGACATCTTTGTCCCTATCCCTTCCCAGAAAACTTGTATCAAGGTCTGAACAGTCAGATTAATAGACCTGCCCAGTTCTGTGTCTAAAAAAAACAGATTCATATTTTTGCTGATCTGATGCAGGCAGTTTCCATCCTGTCTGTCTGTCTGTTCCTCCCTCCCTCCCTTCCATCTGCATTATATCAATTTACACAAAATTGTATATACAGTCTGTAGGACAGATACGAGGAGTATGTATGTATATATTTATATTTATTAATATAGATATTTACACATATTTAAATGATCACCCTTTGTAAATATTTGTTTGATGTACTACATTTTAAAGTTATATTGTTCATTATATAGTCTAGTTAGATAGCTTTTAGTTGACAAAAATATGAGGAAAATATTAGTTCAATGAATACAATCATCTGACCATAACATTTCAGAAGTGACAGCTTCTGTTCTAACATCTTTGTTCACTTGTAAATGTCAACAACTTCTCTGATCAAAAACTTACAAAGCGTGAGGAATTGTCATTCCTCACGGTCTTGGCATTTCCAAAGGCCTCCAGCAGTGGGTTGGCGCTGATGATTTGATCCTCAAGCGTTCCCTGCAGGATGATAATTGTTGCTCATTATCCTTTCCAAAAAATCATGTCAGGAACAGAGAAAAGCATTGATTCCAGCCACTGTCTATTAATTTACCTGCATTTTGCCTGACTGCTCCTCCTTCTTCTTCTCCCCACTCGCTGCAATTGTTGCAAAGTACTGGATGACACGCTTTGTGTTCACAGTCTTCCCTGCACCAGATTCTCCGCTGTCAAACCAAAGACAGAAGCAGAGAGCATGTGGTCAGGCTGGAGGTCCCCTGGCATGGGGCAGCCCAGGGGGGACCCGAGCAGGGAGTGTACATACGTGATCAGGATCGACTGGTTCTCGCGATCTGTGAAAGAGGCAGAAACAAA